TTTCATTTTCGTATTATTTTCCAAAATCAGAATCGGAATAATAGATTCGAAAATGGTAACGGTATTGGTAATATTGTTATATCGGAAACGGGACCGTCAGAACGGAATATACCGATATTGATCGGAAGTCAAAATTCATATCAGAAACAGCGGAGTGTGGCACAGTCACACATTTAACTATCCATAAAGATGACTTTATAACTTCATTCTTGCATCATCACACTTCACGTAACATCGTTATATGATGATTAACGATATGATAATAAGTTCGACGAATAATATAAACAAAGTTTAAAAATACTTCAACATCGATAAGTTGAGAAGACCAAAGTTTAACAAAATCCACATGCCACGCCCTAGGGTTAACAAAGTTTTCCCTTGGTCACTTCCCCTTTCTAATGGGCTACAAGCCTGCTAGGCTTTCATTATTCATGGGCTTCCAATGGGTTAGGCAGGCCGGGCCGCTGCGGAACTTTCGGAATTTTGACGGAAATTACTGAACAAAATGGTTGGAAAAATATCCATCCCATTTCCACTACCGTTCTAGAAGTTACCATTTTCATTTTCGACACCGACTGAAACGGTCGGTGCAAACCGGAAACGGCAGTCGAATATCTCAAAAATTTATGTACCGTTTTCACCCCTAGGTGGGCAAGACCATTGGATCAACCATATTCCCTTCGTTTTATAACCCTTCTTTTGACTTTTTAAAGTCAAACTTATTTAGATTTAATTAAATTTATAGAAAAAATTAGCAACATCCAAAATACCAAATTAGTTTCATTAAATTTATCATTGAACATATTTTGATAATATGTTTTTTTTTATTAAAAATGTTAGTACATTTTTCAAAATATTTGGTCAAGTTTAAAGAAGTTTGAGTAAAAATAGTCAAACGACATATAATATAAAACATAGTATTTATAAGGTTTATTTTTATTACCTATTGACTAGATTGCCACGTCGTTAAATTGCTATCATATGTGTGCCACGTAGGACTAATGCCCCCACCTCTAAATAAGTCAAGAAGCGTAATTTGTTTGGTTTAAAAAATTGAGGAGATGCTTTTGTCCGCTAAGTTTAGGGGATAAATTGGACTATTACTAGTATCGGTTTGAAACCACCCATAGGTACCGGTTTTCCAGTCGGTACCAATTTGGTGGTCCTAATGCCCAATCACATAGGTACCGGTTTTAGAATTGGCAGCTATAAAGATTATATGTGCCAGTTCTTACTCCACAACTAGTACCTGTAGTATTGAACAAATAAAAAAAAGAATCCCAGCCGCCGGCAGCCGGCCACCACCTCCTTCCTGGCCATCGCCACCACCACTTCACCACCTTCTACACCACCACCACCACCTCCACCGCCACTAGGGGTGAAAACGGATGAAATCGGTAACATACCTTTGGAAACGACGCTCGATTGGCCGGTAATTGACCATATTTATCATTTTAACTACTCAGTATGTCGACATTAATACGATGCAGAAAGAAATTAGAAAAAAAACAAAAATTATAAATAGCCAAAAACAGTACGGTCGGAAACAATACCCCTTATATGGAAACGTCGCTCGGTTGATCGGGAATTTCTGTGAACGTTTTCACCCCTAACCGCCACCACTGTCGCTGCTACGCTAGCCTTCTCGACCACCGGCGTCGTTGCTGGATGGAAAGTAGAAGGCAGCGGAGATGAGAGGAGAGGAGAGGATGGTTCGAGATGGCGGCGGCGATGACGACGCTGACAATGGTTGGAGCTGAGTCGCCGGCGAGGTGCAGATTCGGCGCCACCACCTCGAGGTCCTCCAACGAGGCCACCACGTTGCTGCCACATCGCCACCTTCTTTGCCACCACCGCTGCCACCACCATTTCGCTACCTCCACCTCGAGGCCCTCCACCGCTGCCACCACGAGGCCTCCGTCACCGAGGGCACCTCCACCGAGGCCACCGCGGAACCGCCTCTTCGCCTCGGGGGTCGCCATTGGTGCTCCATCTCGTTGCCTTGCTGCTGCCATAGAGAGGACAAGGTGGAAGCAACTCCGGGGGGAGGAGGAGGAGGGATGGCGGACGGAGGGAAGACGCGGCCGGCTCGGTGAGGGGAGGAGCTAGCAGAGAGGAAGATGGCGAGAGAGAGAGAGAGATAGATAGAGAGAGAGAGAGAGGCATCAGGAGATGGTTGGTAAGGATGGGTGGGTGGCGCAAGCAGTAGCTGGGTGGCGAAAAAATGTGATGGGTACAGTTTTTTCTAAAAAGTGGTACCTAAACTATATTATAGGTGTTGATTCTAAATTAACCATTAAATTACCAATAATATAGGTATCAGTTTTTTTATAGAACCGGTACCTATAGTTCCTTAAAGATACATAATAAATACACTGATGTCCATCAGCTCGTGACTTCTTCCCACCCTCCCTGCACCTTCTCCTCCTCTCGCTCCCCACAATGCAGTTCTACAAGCTTGTTCCCCTCCTCACTCTCCCCGTTTGAACCCGTTGACGGTGAAGGGAAGAGGGTGGCGGTGACAAGAACCAACCATTGGAAGGTGGCACATGGTGGCAACAACAACTAGGAGTGAAGAGAGGAGCCAACGGCGATGATGTCGGGCCTCAGGAAGGTGGATCTGCTAGCAGCGGACTCCGACACGATGGTGAACTCCGATGACAATGTGAACCTCTATGACGGCGTAGACCACAACGACCGTGGTGGGCTGGCTTGGGACCACCAAATCCGGTGGCAATGGAGGACCTCGGCCTCGTTCCTCCTTGTCGAGCCACTTCCATAGAGCTCCTTTCTCCCTGCTGAGCCACAGCAGTGAAGCTCCTTCGTCCTCGTCAAGTCACCACTTTGGAGCTCCTTCTTCCGCACCAAGTCGCTGCCATGAAGCTCATTCCTCCACGCCGAGGCACCGCCATGGAGCTCCTTCCTCCTCATCAAGCCGTTGTCATGGCTCTCCTTCTTCTGCACCAAGCCACCGCTGTGACACTCCTTCCCTCCGTGCACGAGCCACCGCCTTGGAGCCGACGGTGAGATGCGTCTTGGGTTCGGCGGCTGATGGACCTAGCAGCCTGTCGTTTTTCTTGCGGTGAGCATGCTGGGATTGGAACAGATTTGGAGATTTGTTTTGTTTTGCATGATCAGCGGCATCGTTTTCAATCTTTTATTTGATTTGTTGATTGTGGAATTGCATTGTGAGGCCAGCATATCTGAATCGATGCTTGAATATGTAATTGCGGACTTGCATCACTAGGCATATGCGAATCGCTTTTAATATGAATTTCTTTTATTTTACATTAGAGAATATTTTCTCTGGCGGTCCTCTTTAGGGAAGCACTTGCGAAAATTAATTTTTGCATACGATTTTCTTAAACCATGTACTCGATTCTCTTAAGCCATGCACTTGCATAAATAGCTGTCCCATGAATGCTGGTGAAAAAGCAAAGAGCAGTTGCTAGCCGGGCGCCCGGCCACCTGCAAAAAATGCTTCTTGGCTGTAAGAAAAAACGTTTTTTAAGTAGTGGATTAAGAGATTTTTTTATAAGAAAAAACAATAAAGTTACAATGTCATCTAACCTGAATGTTTAGAAAGCTATTGATAGTTGTTCAATTTTTTTAAAGTTTGGTTGTAGATATGTCTAAAATGACATATTCTCGTTTTATATTAATTTAGTTGGGCCGCGAAACCCAAATTAATTAGGCTGCGTTCGGGAGTGTTAGTTCTCAACCCCTCTCCCTCGTTTTCCGCGCGGACGTTTTTTAAACTGCTAAACGGTGTGTTTTTTGCAAAAAGTTTCTATACGAAAGTTGCTTTGAAAATCATACTAATTCATTTTTTTTAAAAATAACAAATACTTAATTAATCATGCAATAATAGGTGCTTCGTTTTGCGTGCCGGGAGCCTTATCCTGGCGCTAGGATAGATGGTCCTCTTCTCTTACTCTCCCATTGTTCGGCCCAGTTATTATCATTTTTCCTTTTTTTTTCTTCTGTTCTTTGATATTTCCCGGTTCTTAATTATAATATTTTCCAAGACCAACCTCAAATGCATGCTTATAATAACTTCGTTCGTTATCAACAACGTATATAATTGCTGTCCAAATTGCACATCATTATAATCTTGAGAACATTCTTCATTTACCCCTTAAAATCAACAGCTTATTTTATTTGCCCTCACAAATTTAAACTGCATCCTCTCCTTTGCTTCTTCTTCTCTAATTTTGTCCCTATAATAATATGTCACTCAAAATTGCTAATAAAGTAAAAATGCGTATATATGTATATTACCATATGAAAAAAAATAAACATTCTTAATTGTCTCGAGTCCAATCACACGATGGAGCAGAGGTTATCTTCAAGAGTTCTTGGTTAGGAATTAACATGATGTCATGGATCGAGTCAATATGCGTCAGATTAATCAGTGGGTTACTCACTAATTGATGTGGTTATGGTTCACCAACCTCCCTTACCTAACACTGAGCTGGAATCTATTATTACCTGATAGTTTATTTTATTTTAATTTGCCCTCTCTTAGAATTGATGAATACTGATGGCTACTGATTAACAGGTACACATCAGCCATAAATATTTCATACTCATTCTAAAATTAAGCTTCTCTACATATTAAAATGGAGTAGGAACCCCCAAAAAAAAGCATCACCAAACCTGCAATAGGATTTGCAATTGATAGTATTATTAATGTTGAAAGTTGATGTGTGTTGTGTATATATACACATCTCTAAATGGCAACCTAATCTTCTGATCTCTTTCGGCAAAAATTAAACTCATGTACTCTGTTGTGCTATTCTTTTTCATGAACTTAAAACAGAAAAAAAAATGGAGGATAAACAAAGAACTATAATAACAAAAGAGGAGGAAGGAGTAGGTCCAACAAGAAGGTGGGGGCCCACCCACCAAACAAGGTGTTGAAATTGCAGGGTTTGTTTTGGTTAATCAAGAGGTTGAGCTTAGCTGACCATGTTTGTTGGTTGGTTTGACCCTTCCTAATCCTACCTTTGGTTGGTAGTTAAAAAGGAGCACACACACAACTCTTGCAAATGTCAGGGGGAGGAGGAGCTTTTCCTCTCCTCCATACTATCTTCTGTTGGAGAACAGCAGCAAGCAGAAAAGGGACCAGGGAATCAAAGGCTTCCTGTATAGATCTTTGGAGGAAAGATCCTTTCTTTCTGCAGGAATTCAGGTCAATTTCTTTCCTTTTCTTCTTTTTCTCTCTCTCTCTCTCTGAAGTAGTATCAATCATAGTTGAAAAGTTCTGCAAGAATCCCCTTTCTTTCCCCCATAATCTTCGGCGAAAACAGCTTCTTGCTAGGACGCAAGCATGCCCTATTGCGTTTTTAGTTGAGGTTTGAGTGCGAATTGAGTGGTGCCAGGTTTAATAAGCTAGTATAAGCTAGGGTTGATTTAGTTTCCATTCTTTGTAGGCGCGGCTCGATTCGTTGTGGTTTTGGGGGAAATTAGAGGATTCTCCCAACTCCATTCTTGCTCTATCAGGTTATTTTCTTGTTATTTCTCTCAGGTAGATGGGTTGGTTCTTGGAATGTTCATGGATGTAAGATTGGGCTCTCTAAGGCCAAGAAATTGGGGATTTTTACATACTTAGAAGCAGGAGTTCAGTTCACCATGGCGCCACCATTCTCCTCACTGAAATACTAGCACCTCAGCTGATTCTTCAGTGTTCTACTTCTGTGAGAAAACCTGAATTGGTACTGATTTTCTTTTCTTTTTGTGTGTGTGTGTTGTTCAGGGCATTGCTGGTGTCCTCTTCAGTTGTGCTAAATCTGTGACGAGTATGCGCCGCGTCCGGGTCTCATCCCACCAATCTCCAGTCCACAAGCTTGGTGATTCACAGATGAAATTGACACCCAAATTCCGGCTTGCCACAACCTCCGCATTGCCGTCGTCGATGCCGGCCTCTGATTTGGAGCAAGCCTCATGGGAGACACCCCTCATACCTGGCCTTCCTGATGATGCTGCTCTCAACTGTCTCCTCCGGCTACCTGTTGAGACCCATGAGGCATGCAGGCTTGTGTGTCGCCGGTGGCATCACCTCCTAGCTGACAAGGCGCGGTTCTTCATGCAGAGGAAGGTGATGGGTTTTCGGTCACCGTTGTTGTTCACCCTGGCTTTCCACCGTTGCACTGGTAAGATACAGTGGAAGGTGCTGGACCTGAACTACTTGACCTGGCATACAATTCCTGCCATGCCGTGTCGGGATCGGGCTTGCCCCCGAGGTTTCGGTTGCGTTGCTATCCCCAGTGACGGCACCCTCCTTGTTTGCGGCGGGTTGGTCTCGGACATGGATTGCCCATTGCACTTGGTCCTTAAGTATGATGTTTATAAGAACCGATGGACCGTGATGACTCGAATGCTTGCTGCACGGTCTTTCTTTGCGGGTGGCGTCATTGATGGACGGGTTTATGTAGCTGGAGGTTATAGTACTGACCAGTTTGAGCTCAATTCAGCAGAGGTTCTTGATCCGGTTAAGGGTGTGTGGCAACCAGTTGCTAGTATGGGCATGAACATGGCATCCTCGGATTCTGCTGTCATCAGTGGTAGGCTTTATGTCACTGAAGGCTGTGCATGGCCTTTCTTCTCCTCGCCGAGAGGTCAGGTTTATGATCCAAAGATTGACCGCTGGGAGGTTATGCCAGTTGGAATGCGTGAAGGGTGGACCGGTTTAAGTGTTGTCATCGACAAACATTTGTTCGTCATTTCAGAATATGAGAGGATGAAGGTTAAAGTCTACGATCCAGAAACGGACTCATGGGACTCTGTAAAAGGCCCTCCTATGCCTGAACGAATTATGAAGCCATTTTCGGTGAGTTGTTTGGAGAATAAGATTGTTGTTGTTGGCCGAGGCCTCCATGTAGCTATTGGCCATGTCAAGAAGCAACCTGGCAGCCATCCTGATAGTAGGAGCTCAAGCTACTTAATTCAGTGGCAAGATGTGGATGTTCCTAGGGAATTTGGTGATCTGACACCTTCAAACAGTCAGATTTTGTATGCTTAACTGCTGAAAATGCCGGATCTGCAGAGAGGCCATTGTTGTTCTTTCATTTTATTTGGCCAACTGGGTAAAGCCCTATTCTGAGCTGTAAAATTGTTCTCCTCTGTATGTTAGTCTCTTTCCCAGTTAATTTTACAGCCTGTAAGTGTTATGTCAGTAAATAAATAAAAAAATTCAAGAGATTGTTGTAAGTAGAAGTTTGCCGGTACTTGAGACAATTTGTTGTATTTGCTCTTTAAACTGATTTTGACTTCTTGTTCAGTGCACTGCCAGACTCTGAATATTCAGATGAACCTGTGCTGATAGATTTTCTTAGTCTTCATTTCTAGCAGATGAAAGGATCTTCTTTTTCTTTGTAGATGATTGCATAGCTGAACCATTTTACAATACCTTAAATATGGTTGTTCTGTTATTGAAATTCAGGGCAATATGTTGTTGGATTATATTCCTATTGCTACAGTACACGTACGTACATGCTATACTACAGTACCTAGACTACTGTAGCAACCATGATAGTACACCAATGTTTCTAGAACAAATATCACAACTATCCAGAAACAAGAAGATCAATTCTTACTTCAAATATCACAACCATTTTCTTTTCTTGTAAAGTGCTTTCTTTAACAGTAAAATGGGAGGAAAAAGAGCCCCATCATTTGGCTTATCTGCGGAATAAGCCGAACAGCATATTTGCAAACGAAAAGTAATTTGTGAATAAAATTTTTATACACATGTTCTTAGCGATGTAAAAGCAAATGGTTGAAAAATAAACTTCGATGACAAAACCTCAAAATCGGTTTCAAATTTAAGGTTGAAAATTTAAAGTTTGGCTGATAAGTATAAGTAGAAGCGAAAAGATAGGCTGTATTCTTATCCACTCATGCAGTGCTCTGATAGGCCTACAGCCAAGTGTGAGGATTGACCAACACCACAGCTACTACTACACACATGTGTATCTACCACAAATCCATTCTCGAGGACAGAACAAGAAAAATCCAATCCGTGTGTATGCATTATCTACCACAAATCCATTCTCGAGGACAGAACAAGAAAAATCCAATCCAATTGCTCTCCTGTGGCCATCATCCAAGGCTTCAAGTCAACATGGAAACATCGATCAAAGACAATATAAAAGTTTCATTTTTTACTTGGCTTTTAAATCGTTAAGAATGTAGAAAAGTAAAAGTTTTTACTTGCAAATTACTCCCCACATTTTAAAATGTATAACGCCGTTAACTATTCGCGTAATGTTTGATCATTCGTCTTATTTCAAATATTTATATAAATATAATTTATTTTGTTGTGATTTATTTTATCATAAAAAATATATAATATTAACTTATACTTTTACATATTTACGCTAAATTTTTAAATAAGATAAATGGTCAAACATTGTACAAAAAGTTAACAACGTCGTCCATTTTAAAAAGGATGTAGTATTATTCCTTTTATTGATTACTCCAGCTGTTATAGTTTTAAACGAAACGATCAGAGCTACAAGCACAATTGACTACATATTTTTCTTTCTAGATAATAATGAAACACTTGGCTACTTAAAAATCACAATAATTCCGCAAGTAAAAAAAACCAATATTTTTATCTGCATCACAAAGATTATTCTCCTGAAAATATGTTTAACTTGGTAACTACTACAACTAATTTGGCCCAGAAATCTGAAACTTAATTTAGTTGAGAAATCTGCAGCTGAAGCAGCAATGGAAGCACTCTACTTGGTGGCGTCGTTGGCCACCACACTCCTCACCTCCACCTTCCTCTCGCTCCTCCTCCTCCTCCGCCTCCTCCTCACGCGCCGCCCTCCTCTCGCCGGCGGCGGCGATGGCGGCGCCGCCGTGCGGCTGTACGAGGGCCGCGTCCGGCACTCGCGGCGGCGGCCGGCGGCGCACGCCTTCGAGTACCCCGTGCGATACGCCCTCGTCGACCTGGACCGCCTCCCGCTCCCCGGCCACCTCTCCCCCGACGACGCCCGCCGCGTCGCCTCCACCTCCGGCCCCGTGTAAGCCGCCGCCGCCGCCGCGATTCTGTGACGCTTTTTTTTTTTATTATTATTTCTCCTTCATGAAATTTCGAGCATTTTATTGTAAAAAAAATCGCGTATTTTTTTAACGGATTTGCTATAAATATGTTGCGATATTTTTCATGAAAAAATAGTGAGCATGTATTTACATTATAATTCCCTAGATTACATATGTAATTTTAGTGTATTTATCCTAACTTAGATATGTATAAGTTCTAAAATTACATATGTAATTACATTAGATTTATATTATATAATTACATTTGATATATTTTTATCTAAAAGTCTGTCGCCGTATTTTTAGATAAACCCATTAAAAATGAATATTTGTATGCTGTAGAAGAGCAAAAGGCAGAAAAATTCCGTGTAAAATTTGTTCTTTTTATGTTTTGTCAAAATCTCCTCTCTTTTAGAGGAAATGAAATCACTAGGGGTGGTGGCATGAAAAAGAAAATTCTCTTGTTTGATGAAGGCATCTCCTGACGATTCCCAAGAGCGTAGGGTACGAGCAGAACCCGCTCAGCATCTACTACTGCTATGATTCAGCAGAGCAAGGAGAAGATGAGAAGCTCAAGATGTGCATTGCTGAGGTGAATACTCTGTGTGTTCGATTTATTTTGATTGGTTTCTAGTTATTAGTTCATTGAGATGTTTCTAATCTGTTGTTATTGGATTCAGGTCACAAACACTCCATGGGGGGAGAGGGTAATGTTCACCTTCCAACCAGGCTCTGATCTCGTCGCGAAACCGTTACATGTCAGCCCCTTCATGGTAAGACCATAGTCACATACCAATGTGTGGATTACTACACTATGGTACTAATATTTAGATGGAAAATGTGCTGTGATCTCATCAAAACTTAAATATTCTGATCCTCGGTTCAGTTTCATATGATCTACCGCACATTCAGTCATGTTATGGGTATTTCTGATGCCACTTTGCGTCTTTGTCTAGACCATGTTATTATGTAGTTCTGAAAATCTTGCTCGCTTTAATCACTTGGATCATATCTTCTTAGTGCCTTTCCTTTTTGTTTTGCTTGAGCTGTAGGATATGCTTGGCAATTGGAGTATTCGTGCTGAGTCCCCTGGGGATAGTCTCTATGTGGTTATTTTAGTTCAGCATCCAACACTCGGCAACTATTTCACCGCAGCATTGCACGCCAAGTTAGTCGAGAAGACGAGTAGTTCTCTTAGGCTAGCAACATTCTTCTGGCTGATGCCCCATAAAGTTGCTGCAGGGATATACTGGGAGGTAAGTGTCCTGTACTTGTTCTTACCATTCCAATACCACACTTGCAAAAGCATTTTAAGTTTTGTATAGATGGTATCTTGAAACTCTAGCAGTTAGCGTCTGAGGACTACAAACTAGAATAACTCGATGGCTACTTTTTCCTTTTAATTCTTGTTAATTTGGTTTTAGAATAAATTGAATTGATAGTACAAACTGAATTAACATATGAGCAAATTATGATTATTAAGAGTTTACATTTGACTAACCAAGTTTTAAGTTGAAAATGCAAGAAAAGCTTCGAGGCTTAATTCATGGTCTCCATGATTAGCTTTTGTTTGAATTATGTTTAAAACTCTTATGTCAGTATTCACTAGGAATCAGATCAACATTGATTCCTTTTATGCCTGATTTCTTTTTAATAAAACCAAAAGGGGTACATTGGAAACCGCAATAACAGATTCCATGACATCATTCTCACAAACCTAACACAACATTAAACAGTTGAAAAATGAAATCCACACAATAATCACGATAACATCCGACATACGCAAGGAAGTTGACATGGTACAATCAGATTGGTACAAATATTCAGAATAGCCTAACTTGGACAAGTACAAAAGATAATAATGTGCTTGTTAGACAGAGATGTCAGGATCTGACTTAACCTCAACAATCACCATCAGTGCATATTTCAATAAATATTCACCAAATGTCCCTTTCATTGCTAGACACATCTTCCCACATCGTCCAGCTTCATTCCATGAAATTATCTTGTTATAATGCATTTTTCGTATGTTAGTCAGCAAGGCACCATGTTTTTGTTGGCAGTGTCAAGCTCATTTTGTACTTTAGTCCCTTGTTGTGGCAACCCTTGCTATCGATATACTGGATACCATGGACTGACACTTTTTGTAAAAGCTTTATTAACTATTCCAACATATCCTTATCTCCGCTCATCTTACTGCAATCTATCAGAGTCCCACTTCGCATAAGCTCTTAGTCTGATAAGAGAATCTTTGATGCGATGCAAGTTTAGTCTTTCTGTCAAAAACTGCAGTCACTTGAGTGAAAAATAAGTTTGTACCATGTCCATAGTCCATACCCTTTATTGACATCTTAACTTTGGTAGTTCTGTTCAATTAGATGCTTCTATGCTTATCACCTTTTCACAGTCATGAAATTCATAGGAGCATAACCAGGCCCAAATTACATGAGACATAAGTAAAGCTTGTTACTTCTCTTCAGGCCATGTCATAAATTCACATCTTGAGGTAGCATGTCTTCGTACTGACCATTCAAGACATGGAAAGCATCTCATTTCTGCTACTTTATCAAAGCCAAAAAAAAAATGAATCTTCTATTATATTTAGCGTTTTGATTTTTGTTGAGAAAGAATATTCTGAGCTAGCAAACTAGGATCTGGAGCTTATCTTGAAAACTTGTAATAGGATACTTGCAACTTGTAATGTGTCTGCATCAACTCATCAAGTTATTCTAAGCAACTAAGCAATTCATGGCATGGTGATTTCTGTCAGAATCACGGTTGCTAAGAGCATATAATAAATTCAGATAATTCTAGTGACTACAAAGTAGTAGGACCCAGCTTGATTCACACCTAAACTGGCATTTTCCTCTCAAACATGCCGTTTCATTTCCTTCCTGGTCTTAATAACTGGTATGCTCTGCTACTCCTTCTCTAGGCCATCAGACTTTGGCTGAAGAACGTCAAATTCCTGGACCATCCAAGATACTTGAACTTGAATTACAGAGATGAAGCTCAGAAGCGCGATCTCGAGATCCGTTCATCGTGCAGCTTTCTTCAGAAACAGAAGCTGAACGACCAAAGAACCGGTCGCGCCGATGAAACTGCTGAAATCACAGATCATCATGATCACAATGGTGAGGAGAGCGTTGTGAAGAGGTGGTGTGTGTGGACAGATGCACAATGGCCATGGTCATGATTCAAAGAGCACCAAGTTGTCTTTCAGAAAAGAAAGGGAAAGAACTGGAGGAGATAGCATGTGGATTCAGTATTACACTCTTGTTTAATTATTCCTTCCATGAGTGAATAATAGAACTTCACCAACCATTCGATCGATGTGGATTCAGTACTATACTGCAAGTTGTTGCAAGTGTCAACTAACTTTAGTTTATTTCTTTCATGTGTGACAGTGAGAAAGCTGAATGTTTTCTAATTAATTAATCACATGTTTTTGTTCCCTGAAGAAAACATGTTCTTCAGTATCGTGACCAGTTTTTGACCCGATCGGATACTAATGTTCTAAATTCGAGTGTGTAATGCCCTGTTGATGCTAATCATGCTATGATTAGGCTTTGCTTAATTTCAATTGGCATGTGCACTTGCTGCTAAGATGAAGTGCTCATTCTTCAAGTTTTAGCAGCCAGTTCATGTGGGTCAATGTTTTTGCGCTGAGAGAAGCAAACTCATATTTCTCTCTGTGACGTCCGATATGTATCGGACGGTGAAGATTGAGCGGCTGCACGTCCAACACGTGTTCATACGTGCTCTGTTTTCCTTTGTCTATCTGGTGTATTTTTGCACGTGCGAATGAGAGAAAAAAATGGAAAGAGAAAGAAGTGTGTGTTTGTCAAATTAAGAGGGGTTCGAGATCACGATTAGTAAGGCAACTTAGTGCGCCATTAACGTATAAAATTAGTTAACCGCAGCACGTGTCTCAGGTCAAAAGCAACACTATTTTGCGATTGCCCACGGATTTGTATCCTCTGCATCGAAGAACAAAATACAGATGTGCTACCAGTGACGAATCCAAAACAAAAATTACCCAATATCCGATATGTATAATATTACATGTATAAGGGCATCACCAATTTATATGGCAAAGTGATCCATATAGATGGGACTCACATAAATAGTTTATTCTTATGGCAATATCCACAATGTATATAGATACAAGGTATCATTAGGAGAAGAGAGAGGAGTAGAGATAGATAATACTCCCTCCGTTTCATAATGTAAGTCATTTTAGCATTTCTCATATTTATATTGATGTTAATGAATCTAGACATATATATCTATTTAGATTCATTAACATCACGATGAATGTGGAAAATGCTAGAATGACTTACATTGTGAAACGGAGGAAGTATAATTTATTCCATATGGGTAGTCCATATGCATATGGGTATCTTTTACTATTTTTTCTTTATGGACTAGTTGCACAATAATAATAGGTGGTTGAATGGAATATTCTATTGCTTATGGACTCCTTTTACACTACATTGATTTTTGTTTGATGTCGCTCATGTTTTGATGCGTTGAATCTCCATCTAACGACACAAATTAGCGTGCTATAATAAAAAGGTGTTCGATAACAAGACCAATTACTGTTAGAGCACTGTTGTTATCAAGCGACCTACTGTGCTAATAATATATCACTGTAGCGTAAGTCAGATCACTGCATAAACAATGATCCGCGCCGGTTGTTACGCTACAAAATATCTCCTTCTAGAAAGGATCAGTAATAACGCATAAGTTAAAATATGAAAAGAAAATATTATTAATAAATTTGTTAAAAAACGTCATCGTGTAGTTATCTTTTATGTTTTCATAAATACATAATTTGAGCAAGTAATGATAAAACACACCACCTCCGTCCATAAAAAAAATCCAATCCTAATTACAAGCCTGAATATATGTAGGAATCCAAGTAGATAGTCCCACTACCCGCATAAAAACTCACTTGTTATTTTATTTTTCATATGGTAGTATAAAATTTAGACGAAAAAATAAATTAGAAGTGGGATAAGCGGGCTAAAAACCCGCTTGCATCCCTAGATATATGTGTGTCTAGATTTAAAGCTAGAATTTGCCCTTTTTTTTACATGCTTATTAAAAACTGTGTCGATGTCAAAAGTACATTCTTTCGAAAACAGATATACTAGTGCATAACAGCTAGTTGGCTGATCTATAATACCACTAGAAAACAAAACTTGTAGTTTAAGTTATTAAGAATCTATTTTTTTTTAAAAAAAAACTCTTGTTTTGTATTGTTTCCATCAGTCTTGATCTGGTTAATCTCCAACGTCCTGCCAAATTTACAATTAAGACCATTAATCGTCTTTCTCTCTAGGTTAACCATATAGACGACTGAAGTCTGAAAATGACTATCAGCTTTGACAACGAAGTCACGAGCGTAGATCGGCAAAGATACGTGGAGATTAATTTGCACACGCCTAAAATTAGGTACGACGACGTCTTTCTCTCACTGTTTACGTCAAGAGCATATGTTTCGTGTGAGGCCGACAAAATTTTCAAATCTCGAACTAATTGATTATTAAAACTTTTTAGAACTTTTAGAAAACTGACGTACAAGTTGATCAATCTTTTAGTGAACGTCCATTATATAAAAGTACATTGTAGTACAAGTACAGAAGTACTTGAGTGTGCCCTTTGGAAAAAGATATATACTTGAAGAACAAAATTAACTATACATCGTCTTCAACAATTATAAAGTTTGTAAATGTGTAGTTAATGTGTACGATCCTTGTACTATAAATTTGAAAAATAACACGATTAAGGCCATGTGTGATAGTTTTTTTTTCCCAGTTTAATTAGGTGTGCGGCATTAACTATATTAATTATTTAACTATAACTCTCAATTCACTATTTTTAGCGGAAATCTTGCACGTGTTCAATTATTAGTTTAGGTTCCGTTCATGATTAATTCACCATGACATGCGTCGGTTATGACAATTTGCACATATCCTGGACTCCTAGTATGTATAGTATTGAACACATGCGCCCAAACTACAAAGGTCATATTCATGTGGATGCATGCTTTAATTCTTGCACACGTATAAATTTAGAAGACTATAATTAACCACCTCACATACTCCCTCCATCCAAAAAAAACCTAATCCTGTGTCCAAATTTAAATTCAGAATTGGATTTTTTTTTATGGAGGGAGCACTTCATAGAGAGGGCAACCATCAACTTATATCCACATATACATTTACTACTTTCCCAATATTTAATTTCAGAAAAGTTGAACATATGCATCGACCTCTAGTCCCCTACACAGGTTTATAAGGATATGTTGTGTTCAGTGACGGACCCAAAAAAATTACACTGGGTGTACCCATTCTAGCGATCACTTCACCATATTTTTTTTAAAGAAAACACCCAATTCCGATGGAAGAATTTTGGCAGATTTCGGTCGGATTTTTCAAAATTCTATTCAAATGTGGTACATAATTCATGAAAAATCTATAAAATTTAGAACAACCAATCCCATGTCCTAATCTATCTAGCTGTTGTTTCTTTTTGTCCACACTATTTCTCTTCATCTAGTCCTTTTCTCTTCCCCTAATTTGATTTCTTAGCGATTACAAGATCTCCAGACATCATTGTTGTATTCTATTTTCTGAGAGGATTCCATTTTTATGTCCTTTGATTGTATACTGGAGTGCATCCTAGTGTTTTCCAAAAAAAAAAAAGGGTATGCTGGCACACCCCCTAGGTCCACCCCCAACTTAAATGAAAACTCATGTAGACCTTGATTAAAATGTCATCTAAACTATTTTATGGAAATTTTTCTGGTTGCTGCATGGCTCTTGTGGAAGCAGAGGAATGATTTTATTTTTAACAATGTTTCTCCCTCCCTCCCAAGGTGGAAATCAAGTCTCAAGGAGGAGCTAAGTCTACATTTAACTAGGCTTAAATAGCTTTCAGATCTTTTCTTCAGTCATGGATTGATAACTTGTAATTCTTTTGTACAGTTTTTCTTTTTTTTATATAAATGAAAATTACCGTGGGGGCTTCCCCCACTGTTTCCTAGTCAAAAAAATGTCATCTAAACTAAAAAAAAATCACACATAGATAAAACAATGTTACACTCATTTGTGAGATATAAAAATAAAAATAATTCAACCCGGAACTTTCGACAACATTTTTTATATGCACTACCAGAAACCGGACTAGGCCTGACGGCCAATTATTTTACTGACGTGTACAATGGCTCCTATCGCGAAAAATCTAATTTTCCTGATGAGCCTGTACTAACGTCAGAAAAATAGAATTTTCTTGACGAGGATTCACAACCTGTCACAATAATGCGATTTTTCTAACGTGAATGGGGCAGTCAGTGAAAATAATAGGTTTTGGTGGGAGTTAGGTGGGTAGCTATTTTCGCTTTGGCGCCAGATGGATGGACAGAGCGCCAAAAAAATTGGTGTTTCGTGGGCACACATAAAAAAAGAGAGAGAGAAAAAACCACTTCATTCACCACCCTATCCAGAAGCCTCTTCACTTCCATCTAATCCTTCTCCTCTTCTCATCCCCTCCAGCCTCCTCTTCCTCTTCCCCACTCCAAATCCTTCAAATCCATCCAACCTCTTCCTCTTCCCCACTCCAAATCCTTCAAATCCACCCATGTAGGTTTCTCCCCTCGAATCCCCTTCATATTGTAGCTCTCCTGTGGCTAGGGTTTGCTCCAATGGTGGACTAGAAGATGTTGCTGCGTCGATCTGTGGCTGTAGCGCCTGTGGATTTGCTCCAAGTCCAGAGCTGAAGCTGCAGTTAATCCTTGCCTCATCTCCATCCAGATCAGGACCTAATCCCGGGACTCCGTCGACTCCTCTTGCTGCACTTGTTAAGCTGTAGGGAAGCAGGTACTTTTTTGTTTATTTTTAACGAACTCTGATAAAGCTTGCAGTTCTTAGGGATTTTCATATGATTTGAGGCAATACTCCCATGGATCTGCTGGTTTTTTTTCTCTAGAATTTAATTACAAGCTTTATACTGGTAGCATGGAATTTATCCCAAAGATCTTTAAATTTTGACTGCTAGTTTGAATAAATCCCTCACTATTCGTAAGTATTAATTTCTTCAGCACTCTAAGCATGTCACTATCCTCCTGTCAATGAATGCTTTATTCTGAGATAATAGTAATTTTGTTGTTGTTTGGACTGTACAACATTTATGTTCCTATGAGAGAATAGTAATTTTAGCACAATTGAGCTTGTAGGCAGTGAATAAACTTTGAGCTTCATAAAAAGAGTGATTTTCTCTTAAAGGATGATATACCATCATCCTGGTGCATCTTAGTAAAAGCATGACATACATATTTTTCTTGAAAGTTTCACCTTTACTATGCAAAATGGAACTGTAATGTTGGCTAATATTTACATATTGCGTCGAACTCATCTGAAGTGCTGACAAGTTATTGCTTACCATTGTCTCATTGTCAATACCAAATCCGAGGTAACCAGGATTTTCAACTTACTTCACTGTAATATATTTTGTACAGTAAGTGATAGAACAATAACAACCTTCACATGAACCTTTTCATTCTAAATGTTGATTATATTGTACATAATTTCTTTTTGTGCTATGTAGATGATGTTATTTATGGTGTGATAAATAAGAGTGACATATATGCATGTTAAAATAATTTATTAAGAATTGAATCTGTTTTTAACCACAGAATGACAAGTCGTGAATGGATGTATAGTGGTTGGACACGTGGCAAAGCTCCCACTAATGAATGGATTGATAATACAACACAGTTCTTAAACCGTGCATTTTCTATGCAAGAAGTTGTTAAAGATGGTACTATTAAGTGTCCATGCGCCCAATGTCGGAATTATTTTAGGCACAAAAGGGATACAATAGAGTTGCACTTGTGCAAATACGGATATAAAGAGAACTATGGAATATGGACATCACATGGTGAGAGACCAGTGATAAATGACAATGATCCTGGGCCTTCATTAATAGATCATGAGGGATTTGGTGAATCTGATAGGATGGATAATATGTTGGTTGACTTAGCCAGTGCACAACCACCAGAAAGTAGTGAAGAACCTGCATATTATGCTAAAGCATTCTATAGGATGGTTGCTAGTGCTGATGAATTGATCCATGAGAATACAACACACTCATGTCTCTCAGCTGTAGCTCGTTTGCTAGCTATGAAGTCACAGTATAACATGTCAGTTGCACATTATGATGATGTTTTAGGGATAATCCATGAATTCTTACCTCCTAAGTCTAAGTTGGCTAAGGACTTTTACCGTTCAAAAAAATTGCTAGAAGGTCTTGGTATGCCATATGTTAAAATTGATGTTTGTTACAACAACTGCATGCTTTACTACAAGGAAGATGAGCATAAAAAGAAGTGTGATTTCTGTGGTACTTCTCGTTATGAGAATGTCCAAAACAAAACCCCACGTAAAGTTTTGCACTACCTGCCTATTAAGGATAGATTACAAAGGTTATATGCACATGAGGAGATAGCAAGATTACGGCAGTCCCATAGTCGCTCACAATCTGGTAACATGGTTCACCCATGTGATGGCGAGGCATGGCAACAATTTGATAAGGACTTTCAAGATTTTGCACAAGATCCAAGAAATGTTCGTCTTGCTTTAGCAACTGATGGGTTTACTCCATATAGTTTAGGTGCTGCTCCATACTCTTGCTGGCCAGTATTTATAACTCCCTTAAATTTTCCTCCCGGTGTGTGTATGAGGCCCGAGTACACATTCCTTACTCTTGTCATCCCTGGACCAGAGCATCCAGGGAAAACATTAAGTGTTCTAATGCAACCTTTAGTTGATGAACTTCTGAAGTTATGGGAGGGGGTAGAAACCTGGGATGCTTTACGCAAGCAAAACTTTACAATGAGGGCAATATTTCTATGGTCAATCCATGATTTTCCTGCATATGGGATATTTGCTGGGTGGAGCACTCATGGTCGTTTGGCATGTCCAATTTGTATGGGTGATTCTCAATCTTTTTAGCTCCGTAATGGTAGAAAGCCTTGTTGATTTGATTGTCATAGATGCTTTCTACCCAACGAACATGAATTCAGAACTCAACTAAATGCATTTAGAAAGAACACATTTATACTTGATGAGCCACCAAGGATTCTGACAGGAGAAGAAATTAAAGAAGAAATGTACGCGTGTGTGGATGATATGGAAAACTTTGGTAAAACACACCATTGGACTCATATAAGCTGTTTTTGGCAACTTCCATACTTTGATAAGCTGAAGCTGCGGCACAATATTGATTTGATGCACAATGAGAAAAATGTAGCTGAATCTATATGGAACACATGCTTTGACATACAAGATAATACAAAGGATAATGTGAAGGCAAGGAAAGATTTGGCTGAAATTTGTAGTCGTCCATTACTGCAATTAGTGTCGAAGGGTAATGGAAAATGGCATAAACCAAGGGCATCATTTTGTATTGATAGGAATGACAAGACAACAATTCTCAAATGGTTTCAAGAACTAAAGCTTCCTGATGGATATGCTGCCAATATTAGGCGTGGGGTTAACCTACTACAAAGAAAATTTTTTGGCCTAAAAAGTCATGACTACCATGTTTTCATGGAACGTTTGCTACCTGTTGCATTCCGTGGATTTATTCCAGAGAGTGTTTGGAAGTGTTTGGCAGAGCTCAGTTTCTTTTATAGGCAGTTATGTGCAAAAGAACTAAACAAGGATACCATCCGCTCTTTAGAAGAGAATGTAGCTGTTCTTATTTGTAAATTGGAAAAAATATTCCCACCTGGTTTCTTTAATCCAATGCAACATCTCATCATACATCTTCCCTATGAAGCTCGACTTGGAGGTCCTGTCCAATTTCGTTGGAATTATCCATATGAGAGGTAAAACAAGAAGTAAAACATTAACTTGTTTTTATAGAGTTTACTAACCCTAATGCATTTGGTCCTGCCATGTAGGTTTATCCAAAAACTTAGAAAGAAAGTGCGAAATAAAGCTTGAGTTGAGGGTTCCATTGTTGAGGCCTACCTAGTTGAGGAAACATCTAATTTTCTTTCATTCTATTTCAATCCTAATGTTTGGTCTGCTAGAAACAAGATGCATCATTATGATGATGGCAGCTCACAATTTGATAGTACATGCAACCTAGAAATATTTCAGTACCCTGGCCGGTGTATTAGCCCACGGGGCTGCCGTGCACTCACAATAGAACAGTACAAGGCTGCTACCTTATACATATTGACAAACACACCAGAAATGGATGATTTCTTCAAGTACGTTTCAAATCTACTATGAGTCATTCATATATTTTTATGCCATAATTCTAAATAAGTTTGTTAATGTAGTAAATATGATAAGGAACAATGGAAGAGCCGAATTTCACCAACACCAAATCAGTTGCGAGACTTGCGATTAAATGGATGGAAATCTGGTCGTGGCATTAGAAATGGGCCTAATTTCTTTGATTGGTTCAGAACTGAAGTATGACTCTAACCACTTGAGACATTGTCTTTCCTTCAATCTGCAATCAACTAAAACTAACACTAATATCTGTCATTTGCAGTGCATGAAGTCATCTAGTATACACAATGCTTTGCGTCAAATGTCTTATGGTTTTCGAAGTACAGTTTCCACTTATGGAGTTTATGATATCAATGGATATAGGTTTCGTTCAGAGAAGTATGAGAGCAAGAAATCAGGGTTAACAACAACCAACAGTGGGGTGTGTGTGTCTTGTGTTGGCGAAAACAATGATGTGCTAGAGTACTATAGTATTATTAAAGACATACTCAAGATTAGTTGGGAAGGCAGCATGAACCTTGAATTGGTTTTGTTTGACTGTTATTGGTTTGACCCAACATCTACCGGTGTTTGGCGTACTGCCAATATGGGTTTAGTTGAAATTAAGCACATGTCTAGGCTTTCAAATTTTGAACCATTTGTGATGGCTAGTCAAGTTACACAAGTATATTATTTGCCTTACCCATGCACTACAAGACGTGATCTATCAGAATGGTGGGTTGTACATCATGTCAATCCACGGGGTTATGTCCAGAAAGTTGAGAACACAAATAATGATTCTAACCCAAATGATGATCAAACCCAAGATGTATCATTCTATCAAGAAGATGGATTGGAAGGCACTTTTATTATTGACCTTGGGGCTGACTTAGGAAATATGACTCCACCTATTTTGGATGAGATAACCAATGCAAAAGACTTAGAATTCCTAGAAAAGCAAACGCAGGCTGAAGATAATTACGATGAAGATGACAATGAAGAAGAAGAAGAAGAAGAAGAAGAAGAAGAAGAAGAAGAAGAAGATGAAGAAGATGAAGGGACACAGCCCCCAGCTTATGATCCAAATGATTTTTAGTTTAAGCTATTGAGATTGAAATATCTATAAATATCTATTGTATTTTGTGTCTGTTAATTTATTTATGCAGCTGCCAACTTTCATATGACTTTTTAACCTTTAAGTACCTAAGGTCATTTTGTACTTTATAAAGGTTTTATATTAAGCACTGATGGATTATTATTTGTTTGAATGATTCCATGCTATGAAAATATATGCTATTATTCTTCTTTTTTTATGGACCGATGGTGCTCTTCTAAAACTAATAAATGGATATAACATTGCAGGAAATGAACAGCATTCATCGGAAGCGGCTTGCAAGACAGCAACAAGGCAGGAACATCTCCACAAGGAGCAATGCTAGTGCTACTAATGCAAAAAAACAGAGTCCCGGAAATGATCAATGGAGGTGGCAGTAATAACTTCGGTGCTAACTCCTCCCAGAGACTTTGTGCTGGTAATAGTAGCAATACTGATAATGCCTCCCAAGCCACCAATATTTCTAGAAGTGGCATGAGCAGTGCGCCACCAAATAAAAGAGGGAGGAAGAAGGGCTCAAGAACTGCACTAAAAGTACCTCCGCGGGGTCGAAAGATCGCGCTGAAACCTCGGGGTGATGAGTAAGTATCTGCATTTCTAGAACCCTACAGATTTTCTACTAATGCTTATTACTTTGTTAACTGCTCCAATAAATTAGAGGCTATTTTAATTTCTGTTCTATAGAATTTATATTGTTCAAAGCCGATATGTTTGTGACGTGATAAATTGAGTAGCATATATGTTCTTCAAATCTAATATGGGTATGTATACAAAAGCTCTGTACATGTGTTGTCTATGTTTTTCTCCTCTTAATGGAACAATTCTCACATGGGTGTTTTCTTTAGGCAATTTGAGTACATAACATACCCTCTATTGAAATCAGACCCCAAATATGGTACACATATGGGAATTATTCTTAAACGAGAATACCCTTGCATTATTGAAGAGAAGGATGAGAATGGTTTAATCATCAGCAGCCGTCCAGCAACCTCATGGTTTGATTACTATGAAAAGGAAGACGACTCAGGAGTCACAAAGGCAGATAAGGTGAAGCAAGAATTTTGGATAAGTCATTGTTAAAATGTCCTTCAAATTACATTGACAAGCAATTAAATTGCTATCTAATATATATTAACTTGGTACATGCAGAATGCATTCTGTGTCAGTGAGGCGGACAAGGTAGAGGCTGGCCGTGTTTTGGAAAATTATGCAGCGAAATCAGCTTCGTGTCGATTCTGTCAAGGTGTACCATGATAAAATTGGGGAGCAGATTGATGATGCATTAGCACGCCCAAAGGAACTTGAAGTTGATGAATATAAGGATGGCCCCGTTGATTGGTGCAGAGACAATGGATTTTCATACCTTGCAGATTATTGGTGTACTGAAGAGTTCAAGGCAAAAAGAAAGAGAGGCCAACAAGCACGCCTTAATTCTGAGGATGTTGCCCAAAAACGAGGAGGTTCCCGGCCATTCACAGAGACACAACAATATATGGTACCATATCTTTTCAGCATGGTTTTTCATTAGTTTTATTCATAGGGTATTGCTCATCAAACCAATTATGTTTTAGGGAGTAAAATTTGGACCTGAGAAAGCTACAACACTAAACACTTTTAGTGCAATGAAGACTGGCTTTAAAAATATAGATAATGATGGAAATATTGGACCAATCCCAAGCCAGAAAGCACAAAAGCGTGTGGTATGGTTTCTGCTTCTATTCTTTCCATTGAAGGAATGTTTTGTTTGGTACTAAATTCCAACCTTTTTGTAGACTGATTATTTAACAGGTCTTAGGGCTAAATATCCAAATGATTGGCAACAAAGAGACCTAGATGAGAATGTATTGTACAGCACCAATGGTGGCTTGCCACATGGTCGCGTACAGATAGCGAATGGACCTGTTAGGAAGGCTAATATTTTGGCTGTGGCCAAATCAACAAATGTTCGACCTGCCAATTCAATTGCTTTCCAAAATATGGCTCAACAAACTCAGAATATGGCTCGACAAAATGAACAACTACTCCGGGAGAATCAATACATGCGCAAAAAACAGGAACGAACTGACAAGTTGTTATTGGTATTAAGTTACAATAATACTTTTACTCTCAGTTTTAGTTTTTAGTTTCTAAACCCAGTTGGCTACTTTTTAAATGTAGGCACTTTATGAAAAGTTGGGTGAACAAGTACCACAAGAATTGGACTGTCCAGTAGAAGAGGAAGATCCATTTGCACAGGTAAGCGGAGTTCAATTATTTTAGTTATTTACCTAAGTATTTTCTCCTATACTGCTGTGGTTACTCATAGATGAACTAGCTGAATATTTATATTGTGCCAGTACAATTTGGTTGCCCTATTGAAATAGCAAACTAATTCATATTGGTATGTCAGAGTGAGAACAGACAATGCAGCACTTACAGTGAGGGATTGGGCTCATGTTGATTGTTGTAACAGTTGGCCTTGTAGTCACATTCTCAAATAATTGAGATGGTAAGACAAAATATATTATTTTAGTTTGAGATGACTTGCATCTTGCACAAAACAGAAAATTGGTTTAGAAGGTTATAGTTACTCCAACATTTGTTCAATATAGTACAAAAGGATTGCATATGAACTTTGATAGACCACTGTGTTTTACTTATTATTTTTTCTAGTTGCATCGGCATGCGTTTTCAGTACTGGTTAATTGGACTGAATTCTTATAAACTTCATTTCGAACTGCTGCAGGGAACAAGTTCTTCCCATGTAGTCTCACAGCCAGTTGAGGACAATGGGAACAACAACAGTGATGGATGTAACACCGCCTCTGGCAATGGTGGCAATAACAACGGCGACAACAACTGCAATGGCAATAATACTAGCAGTTTGAATGCCAATGATGGAAGCAACATCGGTAGGAACAACAACTCTGGTGGTTGTAATACTAGCACATCTTGAATGCCTCTCCATGATGCTGCCACTCACTTCACTAACAGATCATGCAAGATGGGCTAAGGCTTTTGGATATACTGACTATGGAGTTGTGTCATACTAATACTTTTGGATAGGTTGTATTTATGGTTCTAGACCTCGATAGAGTGTGGGACTCCAAAATTAGTACTAAGTTTCTTACATAGTCTCTTGGCCATGCAAACTCCACAAAGTGATACTTTTGTGTTATGTTCAAATAGTGAACTGGAACTACATTATACTGTTATGAGGGATCTATGTGTATCACTTGATCCATAAGTTAATGAAATATTGAACTTGAACTGGAGGTGTGTATGTGATCATGATGAATACTGGAAATGAGTACTTTTGATATTGTACTGTGTATATTTGATTCATGCCTACGTTCTGGTAGGTTTTCTCCTGATGATTTGCGGCTAGTTGTCTAACTGTCAGGGAAATATATTTTCCTGACGGTCATAACCATCAGAAAAAACCACTGCAAAACTGTGACAGGGGAGACCATCAGCGATAGATGAATATCGCTGACTTCTCACATCAACGTCAGGAAAACTATCCTTGACGTGAGTACACGTCAGGAAAATTAATCCTGACGCGCCTCCGTCACCCAAATTTATTTTTCTCTGACAAGCTAGTCCTGACGGAATTTTCCTGACGTTGACACGTCACAAACAATTTTCCTGACGTGTTTTTGTTTTATCCTGACGGTTTTTAGCCGTCATAAGTAATCTAGTTTCTGGTAGTGATGGTTGTGTATATCATCTCATTTAGATGTTTTATTTTTTAATGAAATGACTTTTTGATCAGCGTTTGCATGCATGATTTTCCACCTAACTTAAGTTCTCACCGCATATTTATCCGATCTTTAAGACTCAATCTCTAGCTATCGTCGAACAGGTTCTACCAAAGGGCCTATCAATCGAGCTTCGGCGAGTTTAAAATTATTGTTTTTTTCAAGTACAAGTTGAATGCATACATGTATAGACACCATACTACTCATGGAACACGAGATATTCGAAACACAGGGATATGCATAATCGGTATGCTTTGCGGTTCACGTCTGAATATGTGGTTGACAACGTTGCAATATATATATATAGACGCCGAGATATTAGGTACATATATAGGATGCGATCGACATGACAAATATATAATTAAAGCTAGCCAGCCTTCAAAAATTAAGAAGATGAAATTAATGGATGAAAGTGCAACATATGACAAATATTTCTCCTTGTAGGCTAGTACTTGGAAATGTGTCACTTTTAATTAATATATATAGTGTTCTTAATTAACTTTCGCTCTCTCCTGCACGTTCTTGATTCCAACTCTTGGAGAGACTTTTAATGAATATATGTATATATACTTTCTCCGTTTCATAATATAAGTCTTTCTAGCATTGTCGATATTTATATTTTAATGAATCTAGACATACATAGAAAGTCTTAATTTATTAACATATGAATACGAACAATGCTAAAAAGTCTTACATGAAACACAGTAAGTACATATGTTCAATGTGACGTACACCTATACTACTGCATATTCACAAGCATTATGCATTACCATTACATCGATCTATCGATGGAACATTTTTTATTCATGTCCTTTTTTATTTCTTTTTTTCACGAAGTCGCCACTGAATTAATATATTGGCCTACGTTGTGCGGGATAACAAGAGATCGATTATGGAGCTCCAACAAGTACTCTAGCGTCAAGTGATTGATTTTCCCCTGTTATGTTAATCTATACCTTTTTAAATTACCTGCTATATCTAAATCCAACCACGTGCACATATGTTAAAAAAAAATTCTTGGGGTGATACATGGAATATACTACTATGTTATAGCTTAAAGGTAAAAACAATACTTTCATTTGGTGTAGATTCTTGCCAATATGAAAAGAAAACTCGATAATATAAATTTTTATCTAGGTTAATCCATAAAAAAATAATACTTAAAGTTGTTGCAGAATGTTATATATTTCAGTTGTTGCTATGCAAGTTTAGATTATATTCATTTGGTATTTTAGTTGACCTATAATACCAAAACAAGCAATCACTAATTTTGACAACAAATACAAAAATATTTAATACTGATCATTAATTTGCAAACGGTATAAAGGATTCTGTGACTCATGAGTGATCAATATAAAATTAAAATGCACTAGCCGTGCGGGTGTGAATAAAGCAACTAAATATGGAAACTAAAGAAAGAAAAACGAAGCAATGGATAGGGAAACACATGTGTGGTGCCTAATTTGCCTATAAATATTACACACGCGTACATATGCGAATAGGCTTTTAAACAGGATTTTAGTGAGGTGGGCAATCATAGGATGTAATGCCAAAAATAGAAAACAGGGGAAAAAAACTGTTGCAACATGCATCTAGATAATTATCAAAACTTTAAAGGGAAGAAAAACAGAGGGAGAGGATGTAGAACCGGACGTCAGTAATTTTTGACCCCCCATAGACCGAAAAATAGAAACATGCAAGAACAAACAAAGAAAAAGGCACGTTTCCAATATGTTAACACATATACACCATGTAATAACCAGCCATTGACATGCTTAAGAAAACGCGAATATTAAGGAAGGACAGCCATTGACATGCTGATGACATGTGGGCCCTTGAGCTCTGCACGTTCTCCATTTAAAACGATTAACAAAATGAGATCGAGATCGATTGGTCACAAATATTCTCAAATTAATGTCTCATGTGGTCAAAAATAAAACAAAATGAAAAAATAAGATGAAATATATATATATATAATTCCAGCTAGATGAGCTCGGCCAGCCACCGCTTATTCTTTTCTTGTTTCGTTCCTTAATTTGCCGCGCATTTTCCACGTGCGCGAGGCGCGTATATATACTTGATTGGATTATATGAACCGATGAGGAATTAATTAAGGCGTGTGCCAGCGAAGCCATCCAGCTACTCTCGCGCCCAAAACCACCACCCGCGCGCGCCCAACCTTTCCCTTCCATTTTATTCATCCTCATCTTCTTCTTCTTCATTCAATTCCCCGCATATGATAACAAGACGACCACCACCAATCGCCGGAGGTGGAGAAGACGACGACGTACGACGAATTGGCTATAGCTAGCTAGCTAGCTGATTGATCCACCGATCGATCGAAGAGGAAGAAGAAGAATTGATCGATCGATCGATTGATTGATCGATTGATCAGAGAGGAAGAAGAATTTGATTGATCGATCGACGACGAAGCTATATATATAGTCGTCGGATTGATCGATCGATCGATGGCGGAGGAGCGGAGGAGAGACGACGGCGGCGACGTGGAGGTGGAGCTGAGCCTCCGGCTGAGGACCGGGGACGACAGTACAAGTGCTGACCCGGCGCCGGCGACGGTGGCGGCGGAGGCGAGGAGGAACTTGACCATCTTCTACAACGGCCGGATGTGCGCCGTCAACGTCACCGAGCTACAGGTAATTAATTAATTTAATTAATTTGGGTTTCCTGATCATTCATTTCGATCAACATCTGTTAATCTCTCTGGATTTTCGTGTTCTTATTATGATCATCGATCGTCTAATTACCAGCCTGGATCTATAGATCACTACTAACAAATTAATTAACAAACCTAAAAAAATTAATTAACCCCTTTTTTAGGGAGATCTCTGAACTTAGTTAATTAACCTCATTGTTGATATATAGCATTCTGACAGCTGGTTATGGGATGGGAAATGTTATTTGTTCCTCATCCTAGCTATATCTAGCTTATTTCCCCAAACAAATGAAACTTTAATTAGCTCAAGCATATACACATATATGATTTTTATTTTTAATAACGAAATGCGTCTATATATAGTTCAAATAACCTTGGGATAGAAGCATTAAGAGGAATGCTAATATCTCCCTTGATTTACTTCCTAGCTTATTCCGTTTTGCAAAGTCTAGACCTCTACTAATATCCAAATTAACTTGAAGTTTAGCTCACTCCAATCTGTCAATTTCAAGTTCACAGCAGTATCTCCGTTATCATTTCTCGTATTTAGGCTGTGTAGATACACAAAACAATATGTTCACAAACTATATACATATTATCAATTTTTTAATTAATTAATTAACACACCAAAATTTGGTCTCCATCTAGATTAGTTAATTAACAGGGGTAGGTCCAACAGCATGGTTGAAACTTGAAGATTCTTACTACTGAACAATTTATACCACGTGTTGTACCAAATCAAGGGGACAGAACAAAAGTAAAGACTTACTGTAGAACACTAGTCTACCTTTAGCTGGTGGCTGCGTCATTGACCAATTAATAATAATTAACGCGGAATTAATAATGCATACCTATCATATGCAAGCACGTTGTTTTGCTGGGCTCCCCGGCAAACCAAGCAGCTAGGTAGTGAGAACACACCTCAATTCATTAATTTAGACTTGACCAACTAAAACAATGTTAGTTTTGGTCTTAATCCATCGCTGTCGCCAGCACAAACTAACATTTATATATTCACAAAAGCAACCACTTTGCTCACCGATGCTTTTGACTCTGATAGATTCATGCAATCCATATCGTTGATTTGATCTACTCCTGTCGACATGAGATATTTTCACGACAACAAATAGAGTACATGTACTCTCGCATTTTTTAATATATGGTGTTGTTAACATTTTAGATATGTTAATTTGATCCTTCATTTTATTAAAAAAAATATATAATTATGATTTAGTTTATTATGATTTGATTCTTTAAGCCTGATTTAATTTATTTTATACTTACATAAATTTTTAAAAATTGAAATAAGACGAATGGTCAAGTATTTATAAAAAAATAATGGTGTCATATATTAAAAAGTGTAGGTACTATTGGTAATAACTGATTAGTGTTTTGTTGTGCATTTTGTAATTTCAAGTAATGATTAAATTATTCGGTTTGATTTTTGTGTTCTGATTGATTTATGGCATCCAGGCGAGGACGATCATATCCATGGCGAGCCAAGGAAATTTCGGCAAGCAGCAGCAGCAGCAAATACAGGGTAGGGACGATCACCACTACCACCAGGGCGAGAGCAGCAGCGGCGGCGGCGTTTCCACGGCGGCGGCGCGGCACTGCGACGTCGCCGGCAGCAGCAGCAGCCACAGCGGCAGCGGCAGCGGCAGCGCGACGCCGCCCCGGCCGGCGCTGGTTTCTCCTCGCGCGGGCCTTCAGGCGGCCGCGGCGGCGGCGCCGACGATGAACCAGCCGCCGGCGGCGAGCGGGCTGTCCATGAAGCGGTCGCTGCAGCGATTCCTCGAGAAGAGGAAGACGAGGGCCGCCGCGCCGCTGTACGCCCGGCGATAGGCCAGCCGCTCGCCAGCGCCGCCGATGAGACGACACAAGTTTTATTTTCTTTCTCCTCTTCTCTTTTTCTTTCTTTGTTATGATCCACACATGACAAAATATGAGTACCTAGTAGTTTGTTTAATTGATGAGTTATGTTTCATTAGGTTCTTTAATTGTTTTTAGCTCAACCAAATTTTGTACTAACTGGTTGAGTTTTTTTTTTTAACATGATATATACACAGACGCCCATATATGTACATGCGTGTACATTTACCTATATGAAGACAGCTTAATTTACTCTTATGAATATCTCTAAATCCGGTATATGTTGAGATTAATAAAGTTAATACATGCGTGACCTGTGTCATCAAGTTTAAGATTTAAACTTGAATAAGGTTGCATCATAAAAAAAAACTAACTAGCTAAATACTTTAGATTTTGTTTCCGTAAACTACATTTGGATTTTGTGGCTTCAAAGTTTATACCGAATTAGGGAAATAAATTCACATACTTTAGCAATTATTTCATTTAGACACCATTAACACTAGGAATCTTAACAGATTATTTTGAAACGGAGGGAATAATTCACATGCAAAATATTTGCAATCACGAAGAGACCGTATGGTATTAATTTGTTCGTTTAGTATAAACCGCCAATAATCCAATAAACCATTTAATTAGGTACAGGTGATCAATCACTCGACAATTAACAAAAGTACATGACGCAGCATCATCCAAAATTATAGAACTTTGCATCTTCCAATCTTTTCTTCGGCAGCTACTACCTTCTTCTTCATTCCCGGCCGATCATCCGTCGGCCGGCAAAGCGTGTCGCGGCGGCCGGCCGGTGATCGATCGACGGCGACAAGTTCGCCGTCGTTGTTGTTTACAAGCGAGACGGCATGACGCCGAGCTTGTCGGCCTCGGTGATGACGTGGTTGCGGGTGATGTCGGCGAGGGAGGTGCAGCCGCTGAGCGCCATGGTGAGCTCGAACTCGTCGCGGAGCATCTGCAGCACGTTCCGGACTCCGGCCTCCCCCGCCGCCGCCAGCGAGAACACCACCGGCCTCCCGATCTGCAAGAACACGAAATCGACCAGTTGAGAATTCACCTCTCGCAATCATTGATGGATTTGCTAGTTCGCCGGTGTACTCACGAAGACGCCGGCGGCGCCGAGGGCGAGCGCCTTGAAGACGTCGGTGCCGCGGCGGACGCCGCCGTCGAGGAAGACGGGGAGCTGCCCGCGAGCCGCCTTCACAACCTGCACACCGCCGAAAACCAAAGAGATCGATCACTGTACTGTACTGATCGAATCTGCAGAAACCATCGATGCGAGGTTGAAGATGATCGAGTACCTCCTCGAGGGCGCTGATGGTGGCCGGGACGTAGTCCAGCTGGCGGGCGCCGTGGTTGGACACGATGATGCCGGCCGCGCCGTTCTCCACGGCGAGCCTCGCTGCAATTCGATCACACTGTCAGTGGCTTTGCATTCGAGTTAATGATCGGAGCATGTAATGTAGAGATGAGGCAATGGCTTTACTGTCTTCTGCAGTGATCACTCCCTTCACCAGGATCGGCAGCGTGGTGATGGTCTGCAGCCACTTCACATCCTGCACAAAATATAATTCACATCATTGTTTAACATTTGATATATGATTCATCAGTTGATCACAGTGATGAACAAGTAATCAAGCAGCTATTGTCATCTTCATGTCAGTAAATTCGATCAGAGAAGCAGATAAACAGGACTGGCAATGGCGTGATGCTACCTTCCAGCTCAGGGTGCGATCGATTTGCCCGGCGACGTAAGAAGCCAGTCCTGAATCGCTAGCCTGATCATCAGAATGGGAGATTAGTTCCATGAGAGATTAGAGGAACATGGTGTCCACGATGTGTGCTGAGAGATGAGTTTCACCTGGTCCATTTTCCCCAGCTCCAGGCCTTCAAAGTTCTTCAGTGTCAAAAATGGTGGCAGAACAAACCTGCAACAACATCCACAGACAGGCTGCTTGTTTCAAATCCTGATACATGTGGGATCTTATGTTTGCTCATTTCAGTGTATGCTTCCCATGCTCATTTTTGTAATGCAGAAGATATAACTGGTGTGTTCAGTCCATGGAAAAGATGGAGGGCACCTGTTCTTGATGTCAGCCTCCCTACGGCCAAGTCGCGGAGTATCCACCGTAAGCGCAATCGCCTTGAATCCAGCCCTTTCAGCTCTCCTAACAAGCTGCTCCACCACCCTCCTGTCTTTGTAAACCTACAGAGATCCAAGGTACATGATCCTTGATAAGGACAATCAAACGAAGAAACTAATAGTATTAGCAGAGATTGTGTAGTGTGTTTACATAAAGCTGGAAGAAACGAATCCCTGGTCCAGTTGAGGCAACCTCCTCAACGCTTGAAGTAGCCCATGATGACAATGTCTGAAGATTAAAAAAAAAGGGCACAAGGTTGTGTTCAGTACTTCAGTGTCATTAACTGGATTGATTAATTTCATAAGTAGAATTCTATTTGTGATCCATTGGAACATCGACCAACCATTATAGTGCCCGCTGCTGATGCAGCACGCGCAGTTGCATACTCTCCTGAATCAATATAAAGATTGGACCAATATTAGCTCTATTGTACATGGTAGGCAAAGCAGAAAGAATTTACATGTTGCTTTGAAAAGTTCAGCAGCTTCAGTTATTTATGGATTACTCTAACATGATATCCTTTTGTGTTAGACATATAGCTCTATTACTCTAACATGATTAAGCAAAACCAAATGAAAATCTCACAAAAGCATACCATCTGGGTGAGCCATCTTCTGCATGGCAGAGGGAGCAATCATAATGGGCATTGAAATCTTGAACCCCAGGACTGTTGTGGCCATGTCAATCTTGGATACGTCGATCAGTATGCGTGGGCGAAACCTGGCCAAAACAGAACATATGAGGAGATGGGTAATGAACTAATGATGAAGCTGCAAAAATTTGTACTGATAAATTATTTGAGCAACCAACTGTACATAAACAGGAAAACCACATCTGTTCTTCAGTATCTAGCAACATGAAACATTTAGTTATGGTATGGTATGAGAATGGATTTTCAGGATCAACTATGACAAATGAAAGTTGTCGAAGAACGATGAACATGCTGGCTTTTTTTTTTAATTTTTTCGATAATGTTATGTTAGGTGAATCAAATACAATAGAAAATTCAGTATAATAAGAGAACAATTATTTATACCAAGCATAGAACCAAAACTGCATCAACAAACATGTTATTGCTCACAAATAACCACTAAAAATTTACCCCAAAAGGATTAGGGAAGTAAAATTTACCCAAAAAATGTGTATTAAAGGCTGATTACCAAACAATACTTAAGGCCCAGCTATTTTACACTTCTCACATACACTCCCACAAGAAAAAACCATGCACAAAAGTGTAACAGTGGCAGGAGCTGTAACATAGCAAAAAAGAACATTGAATACTTACAGGATCCTGGCGAAGGCCTCCCTGTTCTCCTGGAGAGTCCACTCGTCCTCGGCCCCAGATGCATAGTAGTCGTAGATCATCTTCGGAAGCTTCTGCTTCGCGATGGCCTGGTACTCCGTGACATTGGTGATCTCCCCCATCTTCGCGCTGAGCTAGCCGAATCACCTACACCACTCTGGACCAAACAAGAAAACAGCTGCTTGATTTAACCAAGAAAACATAAGAATAACTTCAAATCCCTCTACTACATGCAAGTGGATTCTTTGTCTGAAGAAAGTAAAGAACAGTCAGGCTTTCATCATCAGAACACTTGTTGAAATCCATCCATGCAAAATGTTTTCCAAATTAAGACACCATCAATTCAATAGAGCATGTAAATTGGACCATGTACTGAATCAAGAATGAAATTAATAATTGTTCTTAATCTCCAGTGAGTTTTTTACCTTGTAGCAGGCAGTGCCTGACCCCTGCAGGAACAGGGGGAGAGTGAAGAGCCAAGCAAGACAAATGGAAGCAAGAAATGGAGGGTGTGGTGGAAGTGAGAGTAATATAAGAGATGAGGGTGATGACCAAGCATTTGTAGATGAAGACAAAACAAAGGAAAATAATTGTTGAATTGCTAGAGTGTAGAGACATGGAGGGAGAGTGAGATAGCTGTTGTTTGGATGAGCTATTGGAGGTGTGCAGAGAGGATGGCTCTCCTACACTGCTTCCTCATCCTCTCCTGCACCTCCATTCCTGCTCTTCCAGCCCCAGAAAAGAAAATTCACTTGTCTAGGAATTTGTTTCTGCACTGGGTTTATCTCCTCCCTTTATCACAAAAAATGGCTTTTATTTGTCCATTTCTCTGCCGAATGTTTTGGTATTTTCGTTGGAGATAACTGCGGCAGCTTTTGTCTCGGAATTCATCAGAGGTTTTAGCGTGCTACGGACGTGGCGGTTTTGGCAGTTTTGCTACTTTTTCTGGGTACTTTATTAGTGATGACAGTTTTTCGGAATAGTTGTTTTCCTGCACTGCCTGTTCATTCGATTGCTTTTAACCTGCTCCGATGCGGTACAGTCGACAGACTATCAGGTGATATAGATGATTCAGCACAAAGTTGTTTGGTTCAATTTGTAGCGGAAACAATTGGAGATTTGAGTTTATATGTTGCTGCAATTCTCAGTGACCAGGAATGTACAGAGAACAAACCAAAGCATTTGCATGACAGTCCTGATGAAGTACCACCACTCCACCAGCACGTCCGAGGCAAACTTCAGTCAAAATCAACTCCATATGTTATGATGAAAAACAAGGAAAACGATACATTAATACATTTTGCCCAACTCTTCCAGGTACAGTATTGATTACCCACAAGATACAACATACTTACTTTAAATACCATTGCATCATCTGGGCAAAAACTGTACCTGCCCACAACATCTTGGACCTGTCCACTAGGACTCGGATATATCACAGATCGGCGTGAAATTCAGAAAGTAGAGTATCTATCTGTCAACCCGATTCCAGCAGGTAATTCACCTTAACAACAGTACTCTTCGTTTCGATTCACTGCTGACATGCAACCTCTCATGCCATGATAATTCCTTTGTAAACTGTATGTTCAACTTAAATTTTGCATTATATAGAAGGCGTCTCAGTTTCCCCAAACGTTGTCCCATGAGTTGTTCCCTTTTGGTGCCTCAATGAACTGCTGCGCAGGTCCCTCGAAAGCTGGGGTATCTGGGCCCTGAACCTTGCCCTTCTTTGACTTTGTTCGGATTCCTAACATGCGCAAGACAAATCTGGCAAGTTCGCCATAAAGCATCCCAGACCGATCAAAGAGCTGTCGTGACCACGATACAAGAACTCAGTAAGTTCGTGTAAGTATTAGCAAATTTAGAACCAAAACCAAGGGAAGCCGTAAGATCAAAATACCTGCAACATAGCTGTGATAAACAAATAGAATGCTTGTGTGTTCTGCTCAACAAGGAATGCAACTCGCCCAAAGAAATTGACAACACCATGCATCTGCAGCAAGCTCAGAGCATAATTACTAGCTTAGGCACAGGTCAAGGAGTAAGGAAAATAATGATCCTTGAATGGATATGCTGTTAAAATGAGATGCTACTTCACAGACATGGTGTTGTGTGTTTCATAGATGATAAAGCAATATTTATCCGAAAAGAAAATAATGTTACTGAACATGATCAAATGTAATACTTAGTTGGCATGATAAAGCACAAAGGTTGTGGCATCAAACAAAAGAAAACAAACAAATATGAAGAACTACAGAGTTTGACATAAGTTCACCAAAATGAAGTATTTGTGGGTTGAAAACCGGAAAAAGGTTGTGGCATCAAACAAAAGAAAACAAACAAATATGAAGAACTACAGAGTTTGACATAAGTTCACCAAAATGAAGTATTTGTGGGTTGAAAACCGGAAAAAAAGAAGATGTAAAGAAAGATTTGAGTTCTTTTAGTCTAACGATGATTGTAATCGATAATGTTATACAGAGGATAGTTTGCAGAATCTTGACATGCACTGGACAAAGTAAAACAAAAAACAGAATAATGAATAAAGAAAAGTATTTTACCACTCGTAGGAAGGACACCCAGACACTTGGTGGTGGTGCAGGAGGGCCAAATGAATTCGGATCCTGGTTACCGTAAGGGCCCATGCCCATACCGCCCATACCACCCATGCCACCCATGCCACCCATGCCGTAACCACCATAAGAGCCTCCCAACCCACTGTTATACATGCCTCCACCATACATCCCAGAACCTCCGTAAAGGCTACCACCATAACCTCCACCATAACTAGAATACATGCTATTTCCGTAGAGTCCACCACTACCATAGGTATTGCCAAATCCACCGTACGAACTGTACATATTGGATCCATAACCTGTAACAAAAAGGAAGAGTTATCATCTGAGGCTTATCAAAGAAATCCCAAACAAAACAATGGTTTCAAGGAAGTTGATTACCTCCATAAGTATTTCCATAGCCAGATGTCTGCTGCCACGGACGTTGTGGCATAGGCCTCGAGACAGGGTTATTTACATTGGCAGAGAGGTTCCTCTCTGTCGCGGTGACGGTTTCTCCGGGTTTAGCTGTACCAGAAGCTTCAACTACATCGCTAGTGGTGCCACCAGATGGGGGCTTAAAAGGTGCTGGGCCAGAAGTTCCCTCAGCCCCAGCACGTTCCCACGGCTTTGGTGGTGAACCTGCAAAGTGCATTCACATGTTACCTTGAGAATTCATCCCAACCATTAAGGGCAACCAAAATGCTACTAGGCACAAGTTGAATAACCGTAGAGCATAGCGATAGTAACTCCCATCTTTAGAATGGAAAGAACACCTAAAGCTATCGAGTGTACCAAGTTAACATGACAGACGAGCATCATATGCTAAGACCAAATATTACAATTGTAGGGAAAACGGATCGGGCATGCAATGGAATAAATAAGCTATCAGTGCAAAATCGAAAAGGTCAGGCCGTAATTCACACACACCTAGCTCTTAAGCAAGTATGGATCGAGAATCATTGGCGATTCAGGAATAACAACAACACAAGCATAGGCACTACTTGAGGCACCAATCAAATCAAGCTCAAGTGCTAGCTGACATGGCCACAGAGGTAAAAGAACTCTCCCGCTGAAGCGCCGCCTACGAAATTATCACCAGCGCTAACACGGAGAACATGAGAACACTCTCAAAGGCAATGAAATCATAAGTAGCCCCCCTGCATCTACGCCTAGCTCCAGTTCATCCCCCGTGTTCATGCTGAGTAATAATAATTCAACAAAAAAGAAAAAAAAAACACCAGCGACATCTCTCCAGTCCCTAGCGCGCTCTCTGTCACCCCCACGCCCCCATGAAACCCCCCCATGGAATCTCTCCCCACCGGTGAACTTTCAAAAAAAAAATAAATAAATCCCCCCAACATTAACACCGGTCTCCCCTCCCATCCATGACGAAGCAGTTCAAGCGACCAAACAACCTACCGCGAGCGATTCCCCCTGACCCCTCTTGGGGCAAACCAATTCGAGTCCCCCACAAGGACAAAATTCGAAGCCAAATCGACCACCCTAACACAGGCGGCGCAAAATCGAGCCCAATCGGGCGGAGCAACCTAGGGATCGAGGGGATCTAGCTAGGGTTCGGGAAGGGGGGAAGGGGAAAGGCGCGCGACGAACCTGCCATGGCGCGCTCGTCGTCGCCGCCGCCGCCGCCGGGGTCACAGGTCAAACGCCCTTCTCTCTCTCTTTCTCTCTCTCTCTCTCTCTAAGCTAGGGACGCGGATAAAACCGAGGCGCGTCTCGCCTCGTCTCCCACCGGAAGGAAGCGGGGGGAGGAGATGCTACGTTTGTTTCTTGGCTGCTTCGTCGTGGCGGGGAAGAGGAGAACACGTGGGGAAGGGTGGGGGCGGGAGGTCACTGCCAGGTGGGGCCCACCGCGAGGTAAGCGTGCGTTATCTTCTCGTCTACACGTGGGCCCAGTACCGTCCGCAGATTGGAGTTGGGACCCATTTATTACTGCTCCAGCTCGACTTCTCCCTGGTTTGGTTGTTGAATCTACGAACATGTGAAACCACGTACTCCATCCGTCCAAAAAAAATCAAATCCTAAATTTGAATCTGGACATATATAGTATATTGTTACGGATAAATAAAGTAGATAATCAAAAATCAGTAATAATAACTACATTTAACAAGTACTTCCTCCGTCACAAAATAATTATATTTTTAGGATTTAAAATTTGTCCCAAAATAATTATCACTCTAGAGTAGAGTACTAATTGTCCATTAATCATCTATTTAAATTTCTCCCTATTTTCCTCTCAATCATCTTTCTACATTCACATAAACACCATTTAATGAAGAACAATATAGTTTTTCTTCTCAAACCTTATATATATATATATATATATATATATATATATATATATATATATATATATATATATAATTATTTTGGGACGAATGTAGTATTAAATAAGTTAAATTGAAGTTTTATAGTAATTAATAGGGAATAATACTACACACAACATTTAATAACTCATCTTATGGCTTCACACGTGTTGAAATGGTACATTGTAAATTTAGTAAAAAGAAAGAATTAGGATTAGTGTTGGCTTAATTACATGTGTTATTAATAGGGCAATTATTAATACTAAATAGATCATCATTAGAGTGCCTTAGACAAACCAAAATGAAATAGGAGCTGTTCGATCGGTATGAAACGCATCAGAGCGCATCTCCAATGGAGTGGTTATTTTTGGCTCTACAAATACCTATTTAGCCAGTCTAAGAGCATTACCAACAGATTATCTATAATTTTCTCCTAAAAAATTGTTTTTAGGTTTCCTAAACTGAAAATAGGAAGTGAAAAAACTCCTCCCTCCAACAGATAGCCTAAATTCAATCCCTAAAACTTAAAAGTGGACCCTTTTGTTAAACTACCAAGAGAAAATTCCGTTTTTTTTTCACGCGCAGAAAGATCGCTATCTCCCATGCGCGGGAACGAAGGAGAGAGGCGGGATTGCGTGATTGGGAGCGACTTTCGCGCCCGTATATAAACGGAGCAAGGAACCGGGGGAAGGGAACTCCAAAACTCGGGTAGGAGAGTAGGGGATCTGTTGGAGCTGATTTTTGGACTAAAATCCCTCAAAATTAGTTTTGGGAATCATATAGGTAGACTGTTAGTGATGCTCTAACAAAAGTTTAGGGAGTCAAATTTATATCCTATTCCAATAAAACTCCACATTGCACTCTCTACTAACCAATGGACCCACCTGTCATGCTCCGACTCTCAGGACATATGCATATACTCATATATACGCACACATTACTCACACACGTATACCAACATTTCTAGATATGTCGCACCACTTGTGGCTAATAAGCAAAACCGGCTCACTCTATGCCGTACCATTTCTTGTGCAACTCATACATCTCTCCTTCGTCGGGAAGGACTTGCCTCACGCTCTCCCTTTCTTTGCACCTCTTCACCCACTGCATCAGGAATGGACACTTCGACTTTAGATCAAACCCACCATATGCTGCTTGTAACCATGGAACATGCTTGAGAAAGGTATGAGCACGATGTCTAGGAACCCAAACTCGTCACCGGAGAAGAAGCTCCTGTCCCCGAGAACTCCCTCGAGGCGTCTCAGTTGATCTAGGAGCTCTGCCTTGGCCATCTCCTTCTCCTCGCCCTTGCTCTTTAAGAATCTCGTTTGCGTGCTGAACACCTAAATTATCATAGATAAAACGAAATATAGTAAAATATAGTATATTAGTATTTTGGCCTTGTTTCTTTTAGCTTGGGATTATTATAATCCAGATTATTGGGAGTAAGCTAAAAGAAATATACAACTTATTGAAGTAGTCTATTATAATCTAGAGCCTAGCTTATTATAATATGATAAGCTCATTTAGGTGAGCTTTTTCAGTTTATTAGGTAAAAAATTACCGACCATGTCACCCACTCTCTCTTTAGACTTGCAAACCCAATAATCTAGGCTCTAGGAACCTAGGAAAGAAACAACTAGCCATTTATTCTACTACAGATTATAACAATCAAGCTTATAGTAATCTGACTCAATAATTTAGATTATAATAATCCCAAACTGAAAGAAACAGGGCCTTAGTCTCAACACCAACTCAATTCATCTTGATAATTATGCACAAAACTGAACTCATTTATACACGCAGATGATCAAGAATAAATTGAGAGACCGACCTCATGGTCAACGAAGTCAGCCCAAAAGCGAGCACTGGCCCTCTTAAGCGGGTCAGGCGGAAGCAAGCGGGTGCCGACCCGTTTGGCCCAGACCTCGTCGATGTACTGGAGGATGTTGATGGAGCCGCAGATCGGACGGCCACGATGAATCAGGATGGGGACGGAGCGGTGGACCGGGTTCATCCTGAGCACGAGGTCACTCCTCTCGCGGATCCGCAGGTCCTCCTCCACGAACCCGAACCCGACCTGCAGCACGTGCAGCGCGATCCGCGCCCGCATCCCGAACCTGTTAGCCCAGAAGTCGACGACGACGACGCACGCCGCTAGCTCGTCGTCGTCGTGCTCGCCGGTGACGGCGGCGGCGGCGGGCGTCGGATGCATGACAGCCCAGCCGGATTTGATGGCTCCGTTGGTCAGTTGGTTCGTCGGCTCCGTTCTTTTCTCCAACAAGAGTTGGATGAAAATTAAATTTTTCGTTGCATGTTTTTCAAACTGCTAAATGGTGCGTTTCGTGTAAAAACTTTCTATATGGAAGTTGTTATAAAATATTATATTAATCTATTTTTCAAGTTTATAATAATTAAAACTCAATAAATCACACGTTAATACCACCTCGTTTTACCTTAAAAAAACTTAATCTTCATCTTCAGGAGAAAAGAACACCACCATATATATATATATATATATATATATATATATATATATATATATGACACTCATATGGGGCACCATGGTATCTAATGTACAAAATCACTCAAATTTTTCAAAATTTTCAAATTGTGAGTATATACCTAGTTATAATAATTCGATTCATACCTATACCTATCAATAAAACAACTCAAATTTAACTTTATTCACAATCCATGATTAGATACCTAACTAATTATATGTATGGATGCTATATACCTAGAATCAAAATCTAACAAAAACAAGTTCAAATTCAGTTCAAAGCAACTAGTTAGTAAAGTAGTTAATGTTAATATATAAGTAATTGAAAAAATTTCATACTCATTTGAATTGGGTATATACTCAATTTCAACAATGGTGCCCGGGCACTGTGGAGCACCAAACAAATTTAATATATATATATATATATATATATATATATATATATATATATATATATATATATACACACACACACATACATACATACATACATATGTATATATACATATATATATATACATATATATATATACATATATATATATACATATATATATACATATATATATATATATATAAGTTATTATATACATATGACGAAAGTTATTATATATATATAATATATATATATATTTATGTGTTTATGAATTATATATGTATTTATATTGTAACTGGGTTTATAGATGATGTAAACCCAGGGATAAATAGTAATTTGATCCCTGGGTTGTTATTCATATATCATGAATACAATATGCTTCGGACAAAAAACACTGTTCAAAAACACTATTTATTCGGCTGAATACTATTCAGTTTACTGTTTATTCGGCTGATTACTATTCAAAAACACTATTCAGTTTACTGTTTAAATTACTGTTCAATACTGTTCACTTCGAGAGATATTTTAACTTTAGGATCTTTGCAGGGTGGCGAATCCTATTTAGACAGCCTCAGAAGCTTGTTTCAGATGAAGTAAAGTCCTACTCGGTACTCACCGTATGCCTCACCTATCTGTCTTTTTAGAAGCAACTTAAAAAGATATTCCAAGTCACACTTGTTCTAGCTAAGAGTTTATCGTCTCCCCAGGCAGTTCCACCCGAAGGGAACACTTCTCTACGGATACCGATTCTCCAGACGCCTATGCAAGATGCAGGCTAAAAACGAGAACAAACCGAAGAGGTTTCTCCTATAGGGTCCTTAGCATAAACACTTGTCTAGAACAAACGTGCAGGAATACTTAAGGAAAATTACTTTATATTAAACAGATAAGCTTACATACGGTTTTCCCTTTCGGGAAACCCGAAGGTAGGTACAAGCAAGCTGTTCTTACCTTACACAGCGTAATAACACACCTCCTTGCTTCAATATACTATGCAAGGTAGGCTAAAGTCACTACTACTAAGAACTGTGGAATGGAGGGTGAGAGCGCGCTTGGAAGCTTTGCTCTGAATGGTGTCTTCGTTGTTGTTCTCCTCAGCTGGGCAAACCCCTCCTTTTATAGGAGCTCGGGAGGCTCGACTGTGCTTCAAGCTTATCTTCTAGATACTGTATTTTCACGAGCTGGCTCGCACCATGGAGATGCTTATCTTCTTTTTGGCTTTACTTTGTCCTTGAATTGGCCAAGGTGGAGACACCTCTGTACCTGCGCCTTTCTTTTCCGCCGAAAGCAATATTCTCCACAGTATTTTTAACAGTCAAATGTCATTCACTGTCCTTGCATTTTGGATTGATTCAAATTCAATTCATACTTTGGTCATTCGCAAATATAGTCTTCCCACGCCCAAAGAATGGATATTTATTATCAATTTATATTATATTGCTTTATTGGTCAGGCTGCCCATGACCACCTAAATCCATAGTATCTACATCAGAAAAGGAGACTTCAAATTTTTCATCATATGCTTTTTTCATTTCTTCAAATTTATCATTCATTTATTTCTTTAATTCTTTAAGTATTTCTTCTTTCAATTC